CACGGCCACAGGGGAGGGGCGTGAGGGAGAGTCAGTGTAGACCCCACACCCCTCCCCGCCACCTGCAATGCGCACACACAGAGGTAGTGAGAGCACGGTGGTGGGAGCAAGGTGAACGGGTAACCACGAATTCGCAAGAGAAGAGGGAGGAGCCACTGGCGGAGGCACGGCCACAAGTTACAGACCCAAGGGCACCTGAAAAAAAACCTGAGGGGTGTACCTGCACCTGAGAGGGTTACCTGCACCTGAGGGAATTACCTGAAGCAGGGAGGTCTGTAGCATGTGAGCAGTGCCCAACCAGTGGCGAAGTTTCAAGAGCACAGTGCAGCAGCAGATGAAACGAAGGACACGGTGTGACAGGCAAGGGTGAGGGCATGGAGGAACGAGTACTTAGCTGATGGCGTGAGAGCAGGAGGCAGTTGAAGCAGCATGGGCAGCAGGCATGGCATGGCGTCTCAGGCGACCAGCAGCGCTGCTCTTGAGCTCCTGCGAGGGGGGCTGGAGGGGGAGAGGGGGGGAGGAGAGGGGAGGGAAGGGGAAGGGATGGGAGGGGAGGGAGAGGCAGTGAGAGTGAGGGAGTCACGATCATGGAAGGGGACGCATGCATGCAAGCGTGGTGAATTGGTGAAGAGCGAAAGGAGGGCCACTGGTGGACGCACAGTCACAAGCCACAGACTACGGTTTTTACCAAAGACTTTACCTGGAAAAAGGCTTTACCTGGGGGAGGGCTTTACCAGTCATGGGGAAGGTCTGTGGGATCTTTCCTGTGCTGCCACCAGTGGTTCCGTTTTGAGAGATACAGAAATGACAGACAATCGAAGCAAGAATGGATGCAAGGAAGAGCGAGCACTTAGCTGATTATGAGGTGGTTGTGTGCAGAGGGCAGGTGAAGCATGTGCCGGCACCACCGGGTGTTGTCTGCTGCCGCCAGTGGCTTGATGTATGAGGAGAACGCTGATGCTGCCCCACGTCCGTCCGTCTGCCATTGCTGCTTGCGATGAGGCCTGGAAGCGGAGGGGAGGAAGAGAGAGGAGGAGAGGGGGAGGCGAGGGGTGCACAAAGCGAAGACAGTGAGTGGGATAGAGGCACCACGGCATAAGGGGATGCATGCAAGCGCGATATAATTGAGGAAGAGCGAAAGGGGGGCCACTGGTGGACGCACACTAACAAGCCACAGACTACGGTCTTTACCTGAGGGCTTTACCTGGACAAGGCTTTACCTGGAAAAAAGATTTACCTCAGAGAGGGCTTTACCAGTAATGGGGAAGGTCTGTGGGCTGTTTCCTGTGCTGCCACCAGTGGCCCCGTTTTGAGAAAAACCAGAATGACAAGAAAACGAACAGAGGGCTGGCATGGGATGTGAGCACTTAGCTGATGATTGGTCGTCGCTGCAGGCAACAGGTGAAGACTGCAAGGCATGCACATTGTCAAACGCACGCATGCTGCTTCGCGCTCCTTATGGACTCCACCACTCCGCGTTTCTGACATCACGTGCTCGTCTCACCATGGCTGATGTGCTGCCGGACCTGAAAAGTCAACAGCATAGACATCTGTGAGATTCGAATACCTGAAACGTGTTTTATACATAATAAAAGCGCGACCGAACGGAAAGCGATTGCGAGTTCTCGATTGTACCTTGAACCGCGAGCGGAATCGTGAGCTCGCAGTGGCTGATGCGCTTGAACCCGTTGCGAATGCAGCGGACGATGCAGATTAGTCAGCTGCCTGTGGCGGAAGTCGACGTTGGAGGCGGGCGTTGACAGGATTTCGGACGCTCATCTGCCTGTAAACAAATTGAGACAGCGTGAAATTAGATGTTTGCTCAGAATATGCAACAAATGGAGGTTAAAACATCAAAGCCATTACCTTTTCCGCGAGAGCACGTCGTGGTACTGTGTAGCTTCGGCGTGTCAACGAAGATGCTATTTGAGGTTGGAAGTAGGCCAGCTACAGTCGAGATTGATAGCGGACTGAAGATGTTCCATTTCCTGCAGAAGAAGAATACGCACGTCAGAAACTGGCAAAAAGGACGACAAATAGACAGAAACGGCGAGCTGAAAAAAAAAAAAGAAAAGAAAAAAAAGAAATTACATGTGTCAGCTCACATCGAAGCTCCGCGAAACCACCAGCGAGTCTACGAGGAAAAAAAAAAAAAAAAAACGCCTGATGCGAGTGAGGCTTGTCGCTAATCGCGTGTGTGAACGAGTCGAGACACTTGCCCGGTCGAAGTGGCAGTCTGCTTCATCTACGACTACGTTTGAGTTGGAGAGGATCGAGCACAATGTTCACATGAATGTGCAAATGTCTAAACTGACTGGTCGAAATGTCGCTCTGTGAAACCCCTGCTGGAAATGTCGCTTCGAAAAATCCCTGGTTGGATCGTCGTTTCTCAGAGGTTCATACGAGCCCCGAACGGCATGCCGGTCGCGTTGGGGTTTATTTTTTTTGCCGCCGGGCAGAAAGCTTCCGCCGGCTCCGCGTCCTGGTGGAAACGGGTTTCCACCAGGGGGGCACCTGGTGGGTTTGCGCCCACCAGGGCTCGTAGGAACACGAAAATGCCTGGGAAGATTGAAAATCCACAGCCAAACCCAAGTGAGTGAGGGGAACTGGGGTGTGGGGCCTCAACTCTCGCGTTCGCTGTCCGAAAGAAGACAAAAAATGAGAGGTCCTCCTTGTTTTAGGCCACGCGGCACCGATAGGGTTACGACATTGGGGTTCGGTTTCTGGAGGGATGGCCGTTGGCAGCACAAAAGAGGGACTGAATGAGCTAGATCGTCGGATAAGTCTCTTACAAAACGGATCTAGGGATCAGATCGATCGAGTGGACGTTGCGGGCTGGCGGGAAAGCAAACCGTCAATTCGAAACGAAACACAGCGACTCGCTTGGGTTCCCGCAGATGTCCAGCCGATGGAATTCGAGCAAGGTGAGTTGTAGGAAGGAAATGGGGGGGGATGGAGTCGGGGTTGGATGGGCTTCCCTGCTCTCTCTGCCTCACAGGGAGAACCTCGCAGGTTGGAGTCAGGGTGGAGTAAGGACGCGGCACATGTTTTGTCTTTTCCAGGATCGAGGGGAATCTAAGCCGGTACACCGGTTCTCTCACATCGATCGGCACATCGATGTGCACACACCGCAAATTTGTAGTGTGATAGACACGTAGAGCCATGGGTGCCAGGATCGAAATTGCAAGATCGGGCAGGTAGGTTCTGCAGCGAAATACACCAGTACTTTGGTCGTTAACCATTCAGAGCAAAGCACAGCTTGTCGTTATCCAATCATTGTTTGCCTGCGACTGTAGGCGACGCCGATCGATCGTGGCTGTCACCTGTGGCGCGATGTGCCCTCCCGCCAACCCAAACGCAAGATCGATGTGTGCACCATGGCACATCGAACGTGCGGGCTGCGGGTGCCACCATTTTGGTGACCAGTTTACTGTACATTCTCGACTTTATGCGAAAAATGGATACCAGTCATTGACGACATCGTCAATACACTGTACAAGCGGCACATCGATCCCCTCCCACGATCGATCCTGGCAAAGTCAAAACAGGTGCCGCGTCCTAAGGAAGGGCTGTTGAAGAAACATGGCTAAATGGCGAAATGACGAAACGGTTCAACGAACTTCCTCGTGGTAAAAACGAATTGGCGATGAAATCAGTACAGTAACAGAACTTGGTTCTTTTGGTGCTTGTCAGTGTATGTGATATCTGTGGATGAAATTTGACGGAACAAGATCGGGACCAGATGTTGTGAGTGACATGGCAGGTTAACCTGGCCAATCAAGCTGCCCTGAACGGCTTCGTAGTTCGAAGCTGGGAGTGTGTCGGGTGAACCGAACTCCCTGCACGCCTGTGTTCTGGTTCAATTCCACAATTCCCTCTTTCCCTCAATGCATCAATAGGAGAGAAAAGTAAAGCATTACTTCTACATTTCACAAAAGTGGACAAATACATTATGTGCAAATCTACCTGGGCATAGCGACATTCAGCCAGCCATGCACCCAATAGATAAAAGGGAAAAGGCATAAGTTGTCAAAAAAAAGGGAGAGAAAAAAAAAAAAAAAAAACTAAATAGCCAGGCTGAGGCTGTCTAATCTCACAACTTCAGTGTGAGATCCAAGGATGCCTGGTTCAAAACGTCGCTGTCAGAAGCCATTGGCATGAGATCCATGGGCACATTGCTCTCCAGCTTTCTGCAGCCACCATTCTCTGAGGTGCCCTCAGCACCAGGCACAGCGAGGTACGCGGGCACCGGAATACAATACGCGCTAGCAGCCGCACTGCTGCTCTTGAGCCCCTTCACAGCTTGCAGAGAGGATTCAGGAGCCACAGCCCCGCTTCTAGCACCAGCCTGTCGCAGGCTCCGGAGCTCTTCATCCACCATCATCATCACACTCCTCATATCGCCGCCCTTTGCAACGCCAGCAGCGCAAGCAGTGCCAGCTGTAGCATGAGAGCTCACACGCCGAAGCATCTGCGGCACAGGCATAGCAGCCACAGAGCTCGGCTCATCTGAGACGCTGCGCCCAACAACAGCAGCAGAAACAGCAGCAGAAACAGCAGCAGAAACAGCAGCAGAAGTTCCAGCAGGGAGGGAGGCGAAGGACCGTGGAGCGGGAGGAGGAGGGGCCATGTTCTTTGCAAGCAGCTCGAAAGCTGCTGCCACGACCACAGCCGGGGGAGACGAGGTCGAGTCTGCCAGCTGTCGTCGGAAAAAGGTGGTGGTGGAGGGGGGAGGGCCCTTGTTGCTCCTTGCTGCTCCTGCTGTTCCTGCTGCCACCTTTTCTGCTGCGGCTTGTCCCATGTCCTGGGAACGCGGGGACGGTGCTGTCTCGTCGCCATGCTCTTCCAAATCAGCTGCCCTTTCGGGTAGCAAAAATCGCGGATCTTTTGTGTCGGACGGCCCGTTCCCGAACATCCAATCGATGGCCAGCACTCCTGCCGGCAGCGGAGTCGCGGCGGCGGCTACAGACGCGCCGCCGACTGACTGATTCGCAGCAACGTCAGTCACCGACGAGCCACCAGTTCCCGCGGCCCCAGTCTCCGGCGGGGAGAGCTCCTTCGCGTCTGAAGCCGAGACAAGACGCGACGCGGCTCCTTCCAAGGCCGACTCGTCGACGCTCGGGCGACGCCAGTGGGAGCTTGCTGAATATTGCGTCCTTGGGATCGCCGCCTTCCGCGGCGAGAAGCCCGGCGGCGGCTGCGGCGAGCTTCGCTTCGCCCACTGAGACATTGTGCGGCGACAGATCGGATAGTGCTGCGCCAATTGCGGAGGGCACGGCCGCCGGGGGGCCACCAGTGGCGCCGGCGGAGATCGTTGCGCCGGCGGCGGTGAGTCGCGCCATCCACAGCTGCGCGCGCTGCTCGAGCGAAGGGCCCACGGCGGACGACGCGGCGAACGCCTCTGCGAGCGCGGCGCGGCAGCGAGCTTGCTCGAGTGCGGCCTGAAGAGCGACGGAGAAGTCGGAGGTAGCCTGCGGGAGCAGCGCCGCCATCAACGCCGCGGAATCAGGGACTTGCGTGAGTCCGGGGACCAGAGGCGCGCGCATGGGGACGGCGCGGGGGAGAATTCGCTGCATTTTGCGCTGAGGGGCGGAAGTGTTCGCGGAAGGCGCGGTTCCGCCGAGGGAAGTCACGCGGTCGCTATCAGGGCCGGCACTTCCAAATGCCGACTCGCGCAGAGCCGCCCTTGCGGCGGCTTTCTTCGCTTCGGCCTCCGCAGCCGCAGCCGCCGCCGCCGCGGCGCGGTCCTTGTACGAGGGACGCCCACGCTTCCGCGGCCGTTGCGTCTTGCCGTCGCTCGCGGACGCATCGGGTGCGGCGCGCTTGGCGCTGGGCGTAAAATGAGTGAGGAAGGAGGAGTTGGGTAGCGAGGAGTTGAGAAGCGACGAGTTGAGGAGAGTCGCACTCGCATTGCCGGTCGGCGACGTCGCTGCGACCATCGACTCGAGAAGCTGCATCTGCGCCGCAGACGGCCCGAGCGGGTCAATGGTAGAGGAGAGGAAGGAAGAGTTGAGGAGGGGGTTGGAGAGGCGGGATTGCCACGAGAGGGGGGATGACGAGGCGAGCGCGGAGGAGAACTGGAAACCCGCGGAGCAGAGCGACGCGGCCATTCTCTGGCGACGGAGAAGCGACTCTTGCTGCATGGCTGTCGCCGCGGCCAGAACCGCTGCGGTTGCTGAGTCTTGCATGCCGCTGTCGTCCGTGAAATGCGGGGAGGAGAGGAGAGGGTCAGCGGGTAACGCGAGGTCCACGTCGCTCCTTGGCGCTTGGAAGGCGTCCGAAGAGAGAGCAGGGAATCTGCACGCGACGGTTTCTAAAGATGGCGGAAGAAACGCCATAGGAGTCGAGGTGGACCGAAGATATGCGCTGGAGAGGAATGGTGAAACACGCGAGGTTTGTGTTGCGGCAAGAAACAATATTTCGATTTCGCAGAGGAAAACTGCCTGACGAACTCGGAGGGTGTTGAAGAAAACCAGCCGCGGGCGAAGGAGAGAACGGAGGTAGCACAGGGTGAATGAATGGTGAAGCAGATAGGCTCTGAAATATCAAGGTAACGAACTGAACTGAAGTGGAATCTATATATCCTTTCCGTTTCTCTCACTTCTGCACGGGGCCTGAGGTGAGGTGGTGGGGAAAAGGTGAAGGGGAACGTGGGAGGAATAGCCGCAGTTATGCTGAGTGAGGTACGTTTGAGTACGGTTCCTTTCGGACTTTCCACCGCAGGCGGGGTGTTTTGTTTACGAATGTCGGGGTTCAGTTCAGAGAGGTGCGGTTTGGCATATTGCAACGACGGGGGAGCTGGAACGAAGGGGAGGGGGAGTAACAAGACGATCCCCGGGGGGGGGAACGCAAAACAGCACAGCACGTCTAGGAAATGGCGAAGGGAGGAGAGATCGAGTTGCGGGGTGGTGGTTTTACGAGCACGAGACGACACACATTGGCATCATTAGGTCGTTACGATGCAACCCCCACGCGAAACAAGGAGCCTTTGTCACTCTCCGCCCCGCTTGCGCTTGAGTTGATATCACCCGCGCCCCCCGACCCGAGCACGCCTCACTCGCCTCGCCAAACCAAATCCTTCAATCTCTACCTTGATCCCATTCACATGGCTTCGGCGGATGCTGTGCTGTGTTTGGCGACACCAAGATCTTCTCGCTCCAGCACAGACTCCGCCACGAGCCCTGTGTACAAACGGTGCTCATTACAAGAACAACAGGTAGGCGGGCGGCATGTGCGTAAAACAAGTTTTGAGTTGTCGCCACATTCGCCCTTCTCGCCACGGGAAAAAATCTGACTAATGTGAAAGTGGAATGTGAATCGAGTCCAGCGTTTTAATTTCGTAACCAGGTAAACTTTTCTGACGACTGAAGATGTTTTTCTTCCGCAACTTGGTGACTGTACCACAATGCTCAATTCAGTCACTCACTGGCAAAAAAGTTCGCGAGTGACTGTTTTTCTGACTGTACGGGGGGGCCATCCAGCGGCAGCCTTGCGGGGTGGAAGTGGAAGCAGCCCACTGCCCAGCTGTTCAACACACCTCTAATTCCGCCTCCCCCCCCAGCATGCCGACCCGACCCATTCACATGGCTTCGGCGGACGCTGGGCGCTGTTTGGCAACACTAAGATCTTCTCGCTCCAGCAGAGACTCCACCACGAGCCCCGTGCAGAGGGGAACCATCCGACGGCAGCCTTGCGGAGTGGAAGTGGAAGCAGCCCACTGCCCAGCTGTTCAATCCCTTTCATTCCGCCTGCCCTCCGAGCATGCCAACCCGATCCCATTCACATGGCTTCGGCGGATGCTGGGCGCTGTGTTTGGCAACACCAAGATCTTCTCGCTCCAGATTCCAGAACAGACTCCGCCACGAGCCCCGTGCACAGGGGGACCATCCTGCGGCAGCCTTGCGGTGTGGAAGTGGAAGCAGCCCACTGCCCAGCTGTTCAATCCCTCATTCCGCCTCCCCTCCCAGCATGACAATCCAACCCGCTCCCCCTCTAAGGTGGGGCAGGGCAATATCGCTGGCTACGGTGCCTTCTGCGGGGTTTGGTGCAAGTGTTGTTTGTTTCCTTGCCTGCGCTCATGCATGAACTAGTGAACCCACGCGCTACCGTCGGCAGCATAGTGCACGGGCGGAAGGAGCACGTGAAATCTCATCATTTCAGTGTCGCTATTTAATGCAGGAAACAAAGCCATTCTGCCGTGGTGATGATTCTGGTTTGATATGCCCGTAAATTTCTCCGTTAACGATCTCGTATCGGTCAGAAGCGCATCTTTCACGTACGATAGTGTATAGCGTAGGCGGCAGAACACTTTTACAAATTTACAAAAAGTTTGAACCCATTCCATGGCCCGCTTCTTTTGAATCTCGGCGAATGTGACACGTGCACGGCTTCCACTCCCCTTTCGACGTTCTCCAGAACGGAACGGAAGCCACAGAAGCATGCTTCCAGAAACCTGTTTGTGGTCCAAAACATAAATCATTTGTGTGTGATATCTTGTGTCCAAGAGCATGTTTCTCAACTGGGCAGCGGATTCATTATCTTCAACGACCCAATCAAAAGCCGCTCAAGATGGCAACTGGCAGCTAAAGAAAAAGGTTGATGACCAGAGAACTGCATCTACAGTAATCAGCGCACTGTTGCAAGGACGTGGGCGTGATCTACTCAGTGGCCCGGATCGCAAATCGTCTACTCAGCCAAACGGGCACGTGATAGGGTGGTCGGTAACAGTGAACGATTGGTCATAAAGAAGTGTCCCGCAGACCAACTTGCACAGAACAACAAAGAAAAGTTTATGAACACACGGTAACGCATAATTAGCGGTCTATCTTGTAAGGTGACTGAACATTGAAGTAAGCCCAGTATCTGCCCGTGAATGGCTGGAATCTTCTCAACGATATAGTCACAAAATAATGCTGCAGTTGCAGACCAATCACAGAGCTGGACGACAAAAGAGTGTGCAAGTGGGCTGCGTACCAGCTGGTGATCTCTCAGCAAAGGATCCGTGATCATAATTTACGATGGGTCGATATTGGCTAGTAGCGAATGGCTGCGGCGCTTTGTGCTGTAAGCCCGACTCCATCCCAACGAACCATGCCGATTGAAATGCAGTGATCATTATGGGCTACAGTTCACGACTGAGGAAAAACGGTCCGTAATCCCACGCGGGGACTCCCCAACCAGGGCCTAAGTTATCAGGGCAATTACCCTGTTTTGACTGAAATTATAGGGTGTTTTTTCTAGGAGCCCTGATTTTCACAAGGTTTTTTCCGGACCAGCCCGTAAAACTGAAGGGTGATTTTTGAGTCAGCTCGGATCTCTCCGAGGAGTTCTCAAGGGGACCCGTATAATTTTAGCAGACATGTTCTCCCCGACCTGCCTTGCATTCCTCTCGGTCTCCCTCTAAACACACGTTGGGCCAATTTTAGTGAATTTCCTAACCACTCTCTCCTTGTTGGCCTCCATGTGTCTGATTGCCCCGTTCTACGTCGACATGGCTTAGAAGGCCAATAAGGAGAGAGTGTCTGATTGCCCTGTTCTCCCTATGTACTCTTCCTCATCGTATTTTTTTCTAAGTCTACAAAAAGTATCTCGCTCACCCCTCCAGAGCCACTCCATCTCCAATCTCCCCAGCCCTCGCGCAACCCACTGTGAGTTTCCCGCAAAATTCTGGTAATGCATGTTTTCAGGCCTTTTCTGGCTCGAACCCGGATTCGTCAAGGTTTTTTTCCCGCTGGCTCGGATTTTACAGGGTCTTTTTCACAGGGGCCCGGATCGTCCGAGCTAGCAAAAATCCTAGCAATAGCCCTGTCCCCAACATTCTCACATTCAGGAAAGGACAGCAACAAGTCCCGTCTTCATGTAACCAAAAAAAAAAATATTCTTCATGTGAAATTCAGAATGGCTTTATGTTTCATACCCATTGTGAATATGAAATTTGATGAGAAAGCATTCCTGTACGCTGCATGAGCCAACTTCACCGAGTACGAAGTCGAGAAGTCATGAGAATCGAAATAAAACCAGAAAATGTCATATCAAGACCGATGAAGGCAGAAACATTTGTTGTGGAAAGAGCGGGAACATGTTTGAAACGAATTCCCCCGCCGCACTGTTTGAATCCGGTGGAATAAGGGAATGTACCCCTTAGAGTACATGACTAGTCTAGGTCGTTTCGTATTCATCTGAATTTCTTATATAAACTCGATGTATACATGTTTTCTCAGTCATTTTACATTCACTCTGATCTGAGGTCAACACTTCCGCTGCAGCAATACGTGCGAACAACCCTGAGCCGATCCCTAACTAAGTCCTGTTTATGATTGTAACATGGTATGAGAGCCACTCAGGGATTCTTTGCAACCTCACTTCCGTGAAATTCGTCGAACCTCAAACTGGCGAGCGGCACACACTTCAAGACCAAGATGGTCGGAGGATCCGGAGGCCAAACAAATCCAACGGCGGAAGAAGAAACCAACCCGACCGCGACAAATGAGGTGACAACCACGATCAGCACTGCCGCACTCGAGCAGTTATCCTTGCGACTATCAAATATGGAGAAAGAATTTCAAGCCTTGCGGAATGGCGACGCGGGAACCTCTTCCCAACCCGCACACATTCTCCCTCCACACAAACAAACCAGGATCGACTGCCCCCCGTCCAAATAATGAAGCCATTAATTCTGCGCAAGCACACTTTCTCAGCGTCTCAAAAAGTACAACTACCGCCGCGTTTGACGGCAATGACTTCTATACATGGAGTTTTGAGCTAGAGCTCCTCCTACAAACAGCGCAGATCTACCACTACTTCGACGGCTCCTATCCTAAACCGGTGGAAGACACCGAAGACATCAGGGCTCCCTCATGGCGTACAGCGTGCTACTACGTAACATGACGCATGCGGAGCAACTCGGCATCCGCTCCTACAAAGAGAGCGCAGCTTCAGCCTTGGAAGCCTGGAAGCACCTCATCGAGGTATATCAGCCGAAGGACTCAGTCACCTCCAGCAAACTCCTGCAGCAACTAATGGAGACAAAGATGGGGCACGGGGAGAAAGCAAATTCATATATTAACTGCTTTCGGAACATTCGTGATCAAATCATGAAGCATGGAAGCACGATTTCAGAAGAAATCTTCGTCAACATCGTGCTTCAATGACCCGGACCTGAGTGGAAGCCCAACAAGGCGCTACTCCAACAACGAGGGGTTATTTCGGAAGCTGCTCTATGCGCAGCTCTCCTCATCGAACAAGAAGACATGGACTCGAGCAGAACAAGCTCCGCGCCACGACGAGAGCGCATCGCCTTCTACGCTGACAACCGAGAAGAGCGAAGGCTGCGGAGATT